ATTCATTCTTCACATACCTAGTAACATACATAGGTTCCAAGTTAGCTCTTTTTGCTCATGACTGTTTCTTTCTTTCTTTTTTTTTTTTAAAGATTTTATTTATTTTTAGAGAAAGAAGTGAGGGAGAGGGAGAGGGAGAGGGAGAGGGAGAGGGAGAGGGAGAGGGAGAGGGAGAGGGAGAGAGAGAGGGAGAGAGAGAGAGAGAGAGAGAGAGAGAGAGAGAGAGAGAGAGAGAACCATCAATGTGCAGTTGCTGGGGACCATGGCCTGCAACCCAGGCATGTGCCCTGACTGGGAATTGAACCTGCGATGCTTTGGTTCACAGCCCTCGCTCAATCCACTGAGCTACGCCAGCCAGGGCTATGATTGTTTCTTAATTGGGGGAAATGGGACTATTATTTATTGAAGTGAGGGAAGAGGAAGGTGGAGGAAGAGGTAAAGGGCTTGTTTCAGAACACTGAAGAACAATCCTTAAAGGCTTTTCACATTCCCTCTTTCTGGGAAACACACCCTCTTTGTCCGGAAGAGGTTTTTATTTATCAGAATTTATTAATGCATAGTTTAGTGACAGCTGCAAAGCCCGAGGCTTTTAGTTGCTCTCTTCTACCTATTCTCACCTTTCAAACTGCCTTTGAGTTAGAAGACTGAAAGAGTTAAAAAACAAAACAAACAAACAAACAAACAAACAAATAAATAAAGGGCATTTTCCTAGGAGTTCTTCCTTATACTTTCCCTTCCTCTCCCCACTACTCTGTGGTATAGAAACAGAACCCACCTCCCCATCTCAAGAAATATTGCTTGCTTGTCTCAGTGGCTCAAAAAAGGCTCACCCATGCATCCAATGGTTTTGATTACAGGTTGGGCCCCATTAGAATAACTTAGTTTCAGCAGTATCTGTACTGTGCTCATAACGAAAGTAGATATATAATATGTTCTGTTTAAAAAGAAAAAAGTCATTCAATTTGGAAATGAGGCTCAAAGATTATTATATTTCTTTTCAGTGTTAACACCGAAATATTATCTAAGAAGCCCACCTAAAGGTCACCTGACTTTCCTGAAGTTATTTACAGTAACTTTGTTTTACTTACTATTTATAATTGATTAGTGCCCTGATGCCTTAGGTTAGGTGTTCATCTTTGGAACATTTGCCCTGACTGGTGTGGCTCAGTGGATTAAGCGCCAGCCTGGGAACCAAAGAGTTGCCCGTTCAATTCCCAGTCAGGGCACATGTCTGGGTGCCAGCCAGGTCAGGTCTCCAGGTAGAGGTTGTGCCAGAGGCAACCACACATTGATGCTTCTCTCCCACTTTCTCATCCCCTTCCCCTCTAATAAATAATTTTTTTAAAAAGTGGCGGGGGGGGGGGTGGTGTGTGTGTGTGTGTGTGTGTGTGTGTGTGTGTGTGTGTGTGTGAGAGAGAGAGAGAGAGAGAGAGAGAGAGAGAGAGAGAGAGAGAGAGAGAAAGGTTAGCGGAAGCATGGTTCCTTCCTTTCTGCTGTAGGTCCCAGTGGCTGCTGTTGAAATAGGCAAGTTTATGAAACCCGGGAAGGTGGTGCTGGTCCTGGCTGGATGCTATCCTGGATGCAAGGCAGTCATCATGAAGAACACTGATAATGGTACATCAGACCGCCTCTGGTGTACCAGGGCCATGCTCTGGTGGTGGCTGGAATTGACCACTATTCCCGCAAAGTGACAGCTGCCATGGGCAAGAAGGAAACTGCCAAGAGGTCTAAGATCAAGTCTTTTGTTAAAGTTTATAACTACAATCACCTCACACCCATAAGATACTCTGTGGATATCCTCCTGGACAAAGCTGCTGTCAAAAGGGACATCTTCAGAGATCCTGCTCTGAAACGCAAGGCCCAATGGGAGGCCAAGGTCAAGTTTGAAGAGAGGTACAAGACAGCAAGAAAAAATGGTTCTTCCAGAAGCTGCGGTGTTAGGTCTTTTTTTGTTTGTTTGTTTCAGTCATTAAAAATCAAAATAGAATTCCCTGGCTGGTATAGCTCAGTGGATTGAGCGCAGGCTGGGAACCTAAGTGTCCCAGGTTCAATTCCCAGTCAGGGTACATGCCTGGGTTGCAGGCCATAACCCCCAGCAACCGCACATTGATGTCTCTGTCTCTCTGTCTCTCTGTCTCTCTCAAAATAAATAAAATCTTAAAAAAAAATCAAAATAGATAGATAGATAGATAGAAAATAAAGAACATTAACAAGCTAAAACTGATTTGTGTTCAGTAGAAAATGTAACTCCAAAGGTTATGGCTCTATTAGTCTGTCGGGCTGTAATGAAGTTTGTATGCTACTGAGTAATCTCATTCCAGCACCCTTCCTCCTCCTCCTTCTTTTTTTTTTTTTATTTTATTTACAAAGAGAAGGGAAGGGAGGGAGAGAGGGGAAGAAACATTAATGTGTGAGAGAAATATCAATCAGTTGCTTCTTGCTCACTCCCAATCAGAAGGCCTAGCCCTCAACTCAGGCATGAGCCCTGACTGGGAATATGAACTGATGATCTTTTGGTTCATAGGCCAGCGCATCATCCACTGAGCCACACCAGCCAGAGCAGCAGTACTCTTCCTTTCAATGACTACAAATAGAAATCAGAATCTGGTCTCAAAATACTGTTACCAGTTATGCCAACATTCCTACCTTAATCAGTTACTATGAATTTTGTTGAGAATTATGTCTTACCTCTTGAAACTATATTTTGACAGTTAAAAAAATCCAGTGTTTTTTTTTGTTGTTGTTAATCTCAGTGAGTTTCAGAAAAGAAAATAAACATAACAAAACAAAAAATATGTCTGATATAATTATTTTTAAACCACCAGTCTTCAAATTGGGGTGGGGGGGCAATAAATACATCTTATTTTGGAAAAAAATGGAGAACAGGGTAGTTAAGTGTATGAAAATTTACAACTGCCCTTGCCAAATGTGACCTAAGATTTTTTAAAGCAAAACTGAGAAATCAAGGTACAAATCACTTTTCAAAAAAGAAGCTGGGTAACAAAAAGTTAAAATTAGATAGTCCCCCCACAATGAAAAACTTTGCCCAGTAATTAGCATATTATACACATTATGCAAATTTGACATTTAGAAAATGAAGTACTTTTAAATTGCTTAATGTCTTTTAAGTAATAAATGCGTTGCAGCCCACCCACCAATACAATAAACCAGCGATTTTCAAAATTTTTCATCTCATGGCACATATCAACTAATTACTAAAATAGGTATAATTTTGTTTTATTCACACTGGATGGTTATTGTTGTGTTGACTGTTGTCATTATTTTAATTGACAGCTTAAGGGAAAAGAGGTCAGTGCCTCTGACCAAAACAGTCAGGTGCTGCATGTTTTAAAAATTCTTGCAGCACGCCCTGGCTGGTGCGGCTCAGTGGAATGAGTGCTGGCCCGTAAACCAAGAGATCACCAGTTCAATTCCCAACCAATGTGTCTCTTACACACTGATGTTTCTTTCCTTCTCTTTCTCCCCTCTCTCTAAAAATACGTAAGTAAAATAAAGATTCTTGTGACACTGGCTGAAACTGCTACATTAAACAATGGAAATGTACTGCCTTCTGTTTGACTTGGTTTCCTTCAGGAAGACACTTTCTAAAGATTAACCTCTTCTTCAAGACATAGTGACAGTGTATACTTGTTTTCATACTTATCAACTTTAGTGAATCAGAAACTACTGTGGTCAGCATGATGGTAAATATGGTCCTGGATCTTCAGAATTTTTACAATCTAATATGGGTTATGTACATACAGGTGAATGGTGGGCAGGGAAAGGGACAAGTCTATGAGTGGAGAAGCATGCATCTGCACATATGTGAATGTGTATAATAAAACAATGAGAATCAAAACAATGAGACTATTATGTCCTACCCTCCACAAATGCTAAATACAGGAAACTATTAGGAAAACCTGAATACAGAAGATTACCAGAAAAATTTTGGAATCTGTAAATATTGTACACAAATACAATACATAAACTTACTCTCAATCATACATGCTTCAAGTCTCATGTTTCCTGTAATTATCGTACCATCAGCACCAGCTAACCTTCCAACTTACTAATGTGTTCTGTCTCACTTGCAACAAATTTTATCCGGGCTAGAGCTGAAATAGATGCACAGATGACTTAAAAAGTCTGTAGACTGAATAGTGGCAAAATTCTGCTCTTTATTTAAAACTACTTTCCAGTGAAGAACCATCAATCTCTTAATGTCTTCACAATTACCCATAGCATCAATAGCTGGCTTCCTTTAAGCTTTCTCATTACATAAGTTAGTTTCCACAATATCATATGAGTTCCTACTATGATAATGATAAAGGATAACAAGCTTTGCTGATGTGCAGAGTCATCATCAATGCTTACTGGCTTCCCAAACAAATGTCATGGGAGTTTGGAATTTCTAAGAAATTACTTAAATCAAGAAATGCAAATATTCATAAAAGCCAGTGACCTTCAGGGGAAAGTAAAAAAGTGAAACAAAAAAGTGTTTTGGGAATCAGAAGAAAAAGAAATTAACCTTGGTGCTGAAATAGTATCTAGAAAATTACAGAAAATGTCAGCATTATCCTCATTATAGAATTAAAGGGAGTAACTCATAAAAAGCACTTTCAATATCTTTGTGAGTTAAACCTCTAGTCCAACCTTTTGATTTTATAGTGGCCCAGAAAAGTTACCTCACTTATCAAAAAAAAGTGCCAGAGCAATGTGTTCTCTTGATTCCCAGTGATACTCCATAATGCCACAATCCTCTGGCTGTGCTGTCATTAGAGTCAGGCACTGCTTTTGAATTCTTCAGGCCAGCCACAGAGCTGTAGGAGGAACTGTGAACTGCCCCACCCAGCAATTCAGATCTTTAAATGCCAAGTGATAAATGAGGATGTGGTACCCTTTTTCCATACAATGCCAGGATCCTTCTAACAGAATAAACTGTGTGCTCATGCTACAGCCTAAATGTGCACTCATTTTCCCTTTTCTGTGTTTATACTTACCAATTTATCATTCCCATGATCTGTCTTCACCTCAGAACTAAGTGGAAGAAATAAGTCTACTGTTGTGTGCTCTGGAGGAGGCGCCTCTCCAAGAACTATCAACCCCTACAGGACACAAAGAAAAACAGCACAAGTGAGTAGTATTAAAATTACCATTCAGCATCTTTTAGATCTGGAATCTTTATCAGAGTATATGGTATTTTACACTACATTACCAACTAGACTATACTGCATCAAGAGCAGCAATGCAGCCTTATTAGTTTACTTGATCACTCATGTGACTTAAGGGTTACCAAACTGAAAGAGCTAAAATTGTAAATGATGAGTTAAAACAAATGACAAGCAACTGAAACTACTGGATGAAACAAAGGCAGAACAGTCTCAGTAATATATTAGAAACCAAAAAATTCTATCCATAATCAGCATGGGCCCAGTTTAGTAAAAGCAGTAAAAGTGACCAAAATCAGTTATGACACTGTAAAATAAAGCCTGGGATGCAAGTGACCAGGGCTTTGTGTCTCTGGTTCTCTTTCTTTGGTCTAGAAAATAAGGAGATCTGACTGATAAGAAACACTTAACAAAAAATTTGTATTAGAATCACACCTATGGAAATTTATCAAAGGATACTACCCAGGTCTGACATCCTCTCCTCAGAATCTCTGGGGAGAGGGGCTGGGTTTTTAAATAGCTCCCCTTGATTAAGTCCTAACATAAATCCTAAACTGAAAAAAATTACTTGGTCAGTCTTGATGTAGCATCAGAATCCTCCAGATAACATCCTAAAATATAGATTCCAGGGCCTAGAGATTTGGATTGTATCAATTTGGGCTCCCTAGAGCATCGTAACATAGGTTCTTATAAGCCAATGAACCAAATGATCCATCTCTGGTGGCCTAACTCAAAAAATCTCTATGAAATAGGGCATGCAAAGAAATAAAAAGGGTTGGATGGGGACAGTAAGAAAGGATAGTAAATTTTTTCTACCTTAGTTAAAAAAAAAAGTAAAACATCTTTTTTCCCCTGAAAGCGAGAGAAAGAACACCTAACTGTTCTAGAATAAGACCATACCTAGCCTGCACAGAAAATGATGTGCAGACTCCTAAGAGGGAAAGATCATTAACTAAGCAAGAAACATTTGGCCTAGACTTCAAAATGAGGTTCCTCTGACTGAAATAACTGCTGCTTAATATTTTCTTGCCTCAATCACAAGCATAAAATACACTCATCAGCTTTACTATTTCAAAGTAAAAACTATTTGTAAAAAGCAGCTATCTTGCACACAATTCCCTTCCCAAAATTGCATTCAACACCTTCCCTGCTTAAGAGCCTAAACCACCCCCCCATTTCCTGTATAAAACTAACCCAAATTCATCCTGACATTCAGAGTCCCACACAATCTATTCCTACCTTATTTATCTATTTCCAACTTTCTCCAAATACTGTTACAATTATATCAATCTCATTATCTCCTAGAACATGTTTGAATGTACATATGAAGTTGCTATTGAGAGGTGGGGGTTTATTATAAAATAGTATGTACCCAAATGCAATGAAAAGTTGTAATAGTACCTGTTCTTTCTTTGTTCATATTGATTCTGTCCCTTTCTTAAATTTATCCAAAATGCCATGTGCCCTTTCAACAAGCTTGTCAAATCCAAGTGCCACCTCTTTTCAAGAAAATGTCCCTGGGTTAACTGAGCCCCTACTTGCTTTCTTCAAGTCGCCACACTTCCTAAAGCACTATGATTGTATCTTACATTCTGTGTATTTAAATCTCATTTCCAGAGAAGAACTTTGGGCCAAATTATTTCATTTACTGTTGCCTCAATTTGCTGTTTTAAATGTTAACTAATGGTAAGCTCTTGAAGAAAAAAGAAATATATATATTTATTTTAATATTCCACCCCCACATTTTCTTTCTTGGAATTACACACCAGGAAAGAAAATGTACAAAACATTTTGAGTTTTTATGTTAAAAATTATTTCCCTTGAACAAGAAACCATCAAGTTTATATTAAGTATAACCAGGAGCCTAAATTAATTATAAAGTTACTCCATCAATTTTTTAAGTAAGTCAGGATACGACAAATGTTTCCAAAGGGAAAAAATTTCCCTTAAACTATCGAGTAACTTCTAAAAAAACACCTGTGACTTCAAAGACACCCTCCCAGGAAAGTTTTAGATGATTTGGTAGAGACCATTTATTCTCTATCATTTTATGGACCAAAGATGATCATGCCAATAGGCCAATCCATAGCAGAACTCAGACTAAAAGTTGGTCTACTCTCTTGTTCTTCCTTTTGTTCATGCAAATCCAGCCATCATTTATCCATTCATCAACACTGTTTTAGATCCTACAAATACAAAAGGAGAGACACACAGCCTTTCTCTAAACTCCTTCCCTACTGCCCCCCTGGCCCAAACCCATCCTTCCAAGTGCCTCCATTTTAATGCTGGGGGACAAAGACAGACAATAAACAGTAAGAGCAAGTACATTTTATGTAGTACATTAGAAGGTGTTAAAAGAGGAAAAAAAAAAGGACAGTGAGAGTATTATGAGGTGGGAATGAGCACTACTTATTAGGCAGTCAGAGTAAACTTCACACAGAAGGTAGTATTTGAACAAATATTTTGAGACATGGGAATAAACATTGGGGACATCTCGGGGAAGACTCATGCGAACGTTTCAAGGTTGGAGCCAGCTTGATGATTTTAAGAACTGGAAGAAATTCAGTATGCTGAAGTAAAATGAATGAGTGAAGTTCAAGGTAGGAGCTTAAGTCAGAACAGGTGGGAAAGAGAGTTAATCTTGTAGTGCCTTGTAACTCATGAGTATTCTAGCTTTTATTCTCAAACGAGAACTCACTGAAAAGTTTCCAGCACAAGGAGGAACCCATCTTTATGGTTCATAAGAATCAATCTAGCTATTGTGTTGATGTGAAGACTAGTTAGTGGTAAACAGAAAAGCAGAAAATACAGGGTGGGGCAAAAGTAGGTTTACAGTTGTGACTATGAGAAACATCAAGTTTTCTTGTATTATCATTTATTAACTATCGTATTTCTATATGAACTAGTGTTCTGTATATATACATTTGAAGATAGAATCAATCAGCACTGTAAATGTGCTTCTTGGATATAAGGGAAAGGAGACAAGAAACCCAGTCAAGGTTTCTGGCCTCTACAAGAATGGAATTCCCACTGATCTCTTCAGAGGTCTTTCCAATGGGTCTTAAGCCCATTGGTTTTAATCAAATCTATTTTTGTAAATATGTGCTTGGTTGCTATGCTGATGCAGCTAACATTGATCTATGCATACACTGTCGTCCCTTCCTCCAAAATATCTATGTTCACTATAGAATACAAAACCAACCAAAAGATCCCTTATACTGTACCTCATTTCAAAAAGAATTAAAGCAACTAAAAGAGGATGAGCAAACACCAACCCACTCTACTAAAAAATATAGGGGGTTAGAAACCTGCTGTTTATTTAAAGATTTATTTATTTTTAGAAAGAGAAAGAAACATCTATTGGGTGCTTCCTGTACTCTTGTCCATACCCCAATAGGGACTGAACCCACAACCCAGACATGTGTCTCGACTGGGAATGGAACCAGTGACCCTTCCCTTCACAGGTCGATGCCCAACCATCTGAGCCACACCAGTCAGAGCAAAACCTTCTGTTTCTGTAACTCGAATAGTCAAGTACTTAAAGCAACTGTCAACTTGAGCAAGAAAGTCAGATACTCAAGTCTCAGCTCTGCATTCATCTGGTAGTTTGACCATGAACAAATGACTCAATCTCTTTGACCCTCCAATTGTTTATCTTTTAATTTGAGAAGAACAGTAAAATGCTTAACACAGAGCCTGGCAAATGCAGAGTATACATGTTCAAAGGCTTCTATTATTATAGGGATACATGACCAAATGCATGATAATATGCCCTTGGGGGAAATTCCACTGCTTATTTGTTATACTGGGTGGAATAGTATACCTCCCCAAAATTTGTATCACCTAGAACCTATGAATGTGACTTTATTTGGGAACAGGGACTTTGCAGATGTAATCAAGTTAAGAGGAGTCCTTCAGTGGGGTCTCTAAATCCCAACATGACTGAGTGTCCTTATAAGACACAGACACAGTGAGAGAAGAGATGGTCATGTGAAGATGGAAGCAGAAATTGGAGTGATGCAGTATAAACCGAGGAACACCAGGATTACCAGCACCACCAGGAGCTTAGGAAGAGCCAAGGAAGGAGTCTTCCCCAGATTCTTCAAAAGGAGCCTAGCCCTCCTGTTTCAGAATTCTAGCCCACAAAACTATGAGAAAATAAATTTCTGTTGTTTTACATTTATCCCTTAACTTGTGTAAATCTGTTATGGCAGCCCCAGGAAACTAACACATGTGTTTTAAAAAGACGTTGTAGAAATATAAGCATTTAATAAACTTGTTAATTTTCTTAACATCTTGCTTACTGGGATTACCATTCTACTTTTATCCTTCCTGTCACAATTTTGTAACTAACCATCATTGTGTATCCACACTACAAACAAAGAAAATATATTAAAATCTAGAATGGCTTATTGTACAGACCATGAAAATGAGGCTCAGAAGTATTCAGTAACTTTCATTTCCAAGGTTACACAGCTATATGGTAGCAAAACCAGGACTAGAACCAAGAGAACTATTACCAATTCCAAGTCTGGTGCTTAACATATTATGCCCTGCATGATACAACTCTTGAATAATCAATATTATATACAAAATTCCAGAATAACTACTTTCCAGATATTTAAAAATATCTAAGACTTTTGAATGTTTCCCAAAACTGCTTCATCATTACTGCTGAGTTATGAGCTAAAGAATAAAGCTGGAACCAAAAGTGAAGAGACTTTTCTCATGGCTCATGAGACAGTAAACTGAGGCATTACTGTCAAAAAACTTCTCTCAAGTATACGTCAAAAACAAAAGTATTTATGCCGTGACTTAAGTAAGGATGTTTATCATGGCATGTTTTGTAATTGAAGTGTACCCCATTTTATTGCAGATCACACATGCTGTGGTTTTTTACAAAGTGAAGGCAAGACCCTCCATCAGCAAAAAGATTACGACCCATCTTATTGAGATACTTTACTGTGGTGGTTTAGAACCAAACCTGCAATATCTCTGAGGTATGCCTATATAATTTTAATAAAATGCATAATTAAAATATCAACCAAGAAAGGTAATAAAATGTAGGCAATAAAAACGTTAAAAAAAAAAGAAAGAAAGAAAGAAAGAAAAATGTTCAGGGTCCCATATGCACAGGAAAAAATAGTGAAAGAACACATGACCAAATGTTCATAGTGGGTTAATTTTGAATTTGGGTTTTGTTTTTTTGGTTTTTAGAGTAGTTTTAGATTCACAGCAAAACTGAGAGAAAGGTACGGAGAAAGGTGTATTTTCTTATTTTCCAAGTTTCCTCAGAATTGGTAACACTTTTTCATTCATTCTAAGACATACTTTTTCCACATCTTAACATCTTTGGCATCAGAATGCACCTCAACAATTGATGATATGTCTTAGTTTAATTAAAACCATTTGTTATATGCACATGAAATAATGCTGCATCTTACAATCGATGGCATCTTCAAGTCTATGGAATGTAGTAATTTTGTAATAGGGAACTAAAAATATATGCACATATATAAATACACATATTTATGCATGTATATAAAATAAGCAACAAAAAATTAAAATAAAGCAACAAATATGACTGCCATTGTTATCAGTTGTTACTAACAGACTCTTGTTCTCAAACATGGAAATTCCCACTAAAATGCTGTTCAGACACTGAAGAGGTATCCCCAGACAGAGCAAGACTTCCCCCTATCAGGACAGGAATGTCCAGTCATCTTCTAGCTATTCCTATCACCATTCCAGCTCACATGCTACAAGTCTCAATCAATTTCCCCTGTAAAGAAGAGCTAAGGTAAAGGACCCTAATGAATATTTTTAGTTTTAACTTGTTTATTCCAGCTGATTTTTAAAGTAGTCAGGATTTAAATTCTGTTCAAAAAAAACTAAGTCCTCTAGACTTTGCCCTCAATTATAACACACTCTACTGAACTTTTGGAGAATTTTTTTCTAGAACATTTTGGAAAGAAACTAGAATAATCCACTGGAATTTTTGGAATAAAAGCTTAAAAGGGGGCTGCAAAACTTTTACCTCAAACTCTCATCATTTTTATCTTGTCAATTGGTCATCCTTTTAACTTTTGGCCTAGTAATTAATTTAATGCAGAGTTCACAGTACAGCAATTTTCTGAAGGCTTTGACCAGAACTAAGGTAGGACAAAATATGTTGTGACAGTTATTTTTAGGAGCAGTAAGCTCTTCATTTAGACCCATGTGTCCAATCGTGAAGCTTAATTGCACTGAGCTAATAGAAAAATATTTTGAAAGAATGTAAGCTTCACAAAAAAGAGGAATTTTTATTTACCACTATGACCTCACTACGGAGAACAGTGCTTGGTACATAGTAGACACCCAACTATTTTCTGAATTTCTCTTCCATGCACATTAATCCCTCAGTCAAAAACAAACAGAAGAGAGGACTCTTCCAAGTTCATTTATAAGAAGAAAAACTGTACAGTTTATACACAGATAAAAGCTGTGTGGTAAGAATCAGCCCTCTGCAGATAGGACGACACAGGAAAATCAAAATCCTAATCATCAATGTCTAGTTTTGCCTAAACACTCTTTCAGTAAAAATCCTATTTTGCCTCAAGAAAGCAAGGGAAGCTTAATTAACCAGTAAAACAGAACATATCTATGTAAAATAGCAAGATGAAAATCCTTAGTCATCACCACTTTTCCATATATGTAGCAAATATGAGTTATACTCAATGGAATACACTATTCAGTCTTATGTTTCCTGTTAGCCCAGGTATACAAACTGTTTTTGTTCTAAACAGGTGTTCAATTTCACAATATATCCTAGTAGTGATGTCTGCACCACACTAAGCAACATCAAGCTCTTAAACAAATTAAACCACTGTATCAGACCATATTAAATCATTCCATTTGACATAGTTAAGAGTTATTGAGGGATAGCAGAAAAGGGATAATGGTAGTTTTTAGCTGGGCTAAAAAAGACCAGGCACGTATCCCTCACCTTATTAGCGCGTATCTGTTTGTAAATATCCGTTTGCTGCCGAATTCGATATTCCAAGTCAGAAACATGAGCCTGAAGCCAGTTCCAGCGGCTGACAATAGCTGCTCGGTCTGCAGCCCATCTCCATTCTGACCTCCGCCTCCTAAAAGGAAAAAACCAGAGTGAAATCCAAGAGTAGCAGCCATGTTTTTAAAAATAATACAGTGTGACTTTATTTAAATACCAAAACACAAAACCAAATTATTTGTTTCTACATAGCTACAGTAATGCCAAAGGAGAGATGAGATAGAAAGGTAAGAGAATCAATCTGGAGTTTAATTTGATTCGTTTTGCTATGAGAAAATCCTCAATTTTGGGGGGAATGAGAACTTTTAGAATGATAACAGCTACGGGAGGCAACTTGCCACCCTAATTTTCCTGGCTACCATGTTAAGGCAAAACTAGACTACTACTATTCTTACCCAAAGTTCAGCAACTTTTAGTAAATAAATGCTCAATTTGTTGTATCCTCTTGTTCTATTCCAAAGCCCTGAAATACCTGTTCTGCAATAATAATTTGTCTAGTTTTTAAAAAAATTCTAAATTGGTTTATAGAGAGAGGAAAAGAGAGAGAATTGTTCACAGATGAATTTGTTGTTCCACTTTATTTATACATCCACAGGTTGATTCTTGTATGTGCCTTGACTTGGGATCAAACCTGCAACCTTGGAGAATTGGATGTTACTCTAACCAACTGAGAGTTACCTTGGCCAGGGCTTAACGCAGTTTTATAGTTGTTTTGGAGGTAGAGAATTTGCCAATCTTTTCACCCACAATCACTGGAACTCAATCATTTTTTACCTTGATTTTTTTGAGTCAATGTTTTAATTTTTATGGAGTTTGTATTATCTTCCCAGTGTTACCATAACAAGGTATCCCAAACTGGGTAACTCAAAGCAACAGAAATGTCTTTTCTCACTTATGGAAGCTAGAAGACTGAAATTAAGGTTTCAGCAATGCCATGCTCCCTCTGAAGGCTCTTTCTGTGCCTTTCTTAGTTTCTGGTATTGTTGGCAATCATTGGCATTCCTTAAGCCTGCAGATGCATCACTCCAATCTCTGCCTTTGTGGTAACATGGGGGTTCCCCTGTGTGTCTTTCCATCAGCTTCCATGTGTGTGCACACGTGTACCAAATGGGGAGGTTTCTAACATCTAACAGTCCATACATAGACCAACTCTGCCAAGAAAAGCCAAAGATTTTGTTTTTCTGCCTGTCACAGGACACACACAGATAAAACTCGTCGAATATAGGTATTTCCCTGACTCGTTCAAGTTGCCTTCTAGTATCCTGACCTTGTGGCACACAATTTCTCTGAAATTGCTTTAATTTCTCAGGAGATAGAAATATTTCCTACTTTAACGTAAGACATATAATAAAAAATTCAGCAATGTAGCCAAGTAAAGATCAACAGACAAAAACTAATAGTGTCCTGTATGTGCCAATGAGTTAAAAAAAAAAAAAAACCTCATAAAAAAAAGAACTATTCATAACACCAACAAATGCTAATATTATATACAAAAGATCTTTACATAAAAAATAAAACCTAAAAACATGAAAGACCTACAACAGTGATTTTTTTAAAAGATACCAATTGTCACATTAATCTATAAATTCTAGTTAAGTTTCAGGTTTTTAACAGAAGCTGACAAACTGAACCAAAAACTTACATGCAAAAAAAGGACCAACAACAGAGGAATTCTAAAGAAAGAACGATGAAATTTTTTCGAAAATCAGATTATAGGCTTACTGTAAAGATATGATAATTAAGGCAGTATACAAAGACAAAAAGACCAATGACAAAGAGCCCTAAAACTTAAAACTGGATATATAATTAAGATGGCATTCATATCAGTGGGGAAATATAGAACCATTGAATAAATAGTACCGAAGTGGAAAAAGTAAAATTAGTTCCCTTCTTTGTGATATAATCACATCATTTTCAAATTTCTCAATCTGAAACACCAAAAAAAGAGTACCTTTGGAACTTCAGAGCAGGAAAAATTTTAAACCAAACACACAAACAAAAAACTTAGCCAATTTTCAACATACAACAAAAGATTTAATAAAATTAAGGCAAGCCACTGGTTGATAGAAGATATCTGTAACACATAACTACAGATTAACTATCAAAATATGTAACTACAATAAATAGGTTAAAAAAAGGCAATCTAAGAGAGAATTCACATAAGAAATCCAAATTCACATAAGAAAATTCACACAAACCAATAAATACATAAAAACATGCCAGTATTAGGTCTAATATTAAAAGTTGTTTCAAACTCAGATCGGAAAAACCAAATGTGGCGAGATGTGGAAAACAGCAATTCATGTATTGCCGGTAACAATAAAAACTGGCATAACCACTTTTGAAGATTAATTTGGAAATGCTTGGGTAAGTGGAGAATGTGCATACCCACCCATCATGAAATTTTATTTCAGAACATAACCTGCACATCTGTATGAACAAACATGTTCAGTGCAACAGAGGTACAGCTAAAAATTAGTTAATATAGTATGCTAAAGTTAAACTGTAACAGACAAACTATAATTTATTCCTTTAATACATGTCTCTATAGCAATTAAAACATTAACTAGAACTATCTGTACCAACATGACTGTGTCTCAGAAGACAATGTTGAATGGAAAAGTCATACAAAAGCCCTGGCTGGCGTAGCTCAGTGGATTGAGTGTGGGCTGCGAACCAAAGTGTTGCAGGTTCGATTCCCAGTCAGGGCACATGCCTGGGTTGCAGGCCACGGCCCCCAGCAACTGCACATTGATGTCTCCCTCTCTCTCCCTCCCTTCTCTCTCTAAAAATAAATAAAATCTTTAAAAAAAAGTCATATAAAAACTGAAACAACAAAAATAAGTACTGTAATCAATTTAATTATTACTACATGTACCAATACAACTGCATCAACAATGTGAAATGAGAAAACTACATAAAAACTAAAAAAGAATAAGCATACAATAATAAAGACTGGCACTAAGACATAAATAGTAACTATATAAAAACATGTATAGGCCCTGGCTGGTGTGGCTCAGCGGATTGAGCGCTGGCCTGTGAACCGGATCAGGTCCCTGGTTGGGGGCGTGTTAGAGAAACATCAATGTGTGGTTGCCTCTTGTGTGCCCCCTACTGGGGACCTGGCCCGCAACCCAGGCATGTGCCCTGACTGGGAATTGAACCAGCAACCCCCTTTGGTTCTCAGGCTGCACTCAATCCACTGAGCACTGTGCTGCGAAGCAAAGGGTCACCAGTTCGATTCCCAGTCAGGACACACACCTGGGTTGTAGGCCAGGTCCATAGTAGGGGCTGTGTGAGTGGCAACGACACATTGATATTTCTCTCCCTTTCTTTCTCCCCCCTCCCCCCTCTAAAAATAAATAAATAAAATCTTTTTAACAAACTTTCATTTTAAATACAATAATCTATTTCAAGGTTGGCTGCAGACATAGTTCTAGCCCAAATTTAAGAAAAGAACCTCAAAAGCTCAAGTATAACCCTGAACGTCGTCATTCCTAAACTGTAAGGGTCCTTGTTTTTCTAAAAAAGGCAAAGCTAGTTAACCCGCACATCCTGTTTCCAACTTTCATTACTCTTCAAAGTTACCACCTTCCAATCCTGCTAAATAAATCTCCTGCTTTTACAAGTTTATTTCACTTCTGAAGCTATGGCACTATCAAGTCCCCATCAATCACAGCTGGGCTACTCCAATAACCTCCTCAGTTACTATTCCTAATATAAATCACATGCTACCTTTTCCTAAATAAATTCCCTTCAAAGCTTATTTCTTCCTATCACTCTTACATGTATGGAACCACACATGCTCCCTTGCTTCTCTTCAAATCCTGTGTTCAAGGAAACAGTAAAGTATAAGGGGAGTCAAATATTGTAAAGGACAGCACTCTGAGGCCAAAAAATGGTTAAATAAAATTAATGAAGCATCCATTTAACAGTGTATTCACAGCCAAGTTGGTTTTAACAACTGACAATGGCTAGCCAAAATAAAACCCTAACGTTGAAAACCAAAGCAGAGCAAGGGAAAGATGATTTCTTGGCAAATTACCATACTTCCTCCTTTAGTCACCCTTGGTGGACAAAGAATCCTGGCAGTCTCTCCCAAAGATTCTGAACTTAGCTCATAAGCCTTCTCACAACAGTGCTCCAGGACACCAAGCACTCTGAATTGACAGGAATGATGAAATCCATTTGTTATCTCTGAATTTAGATACATCTTAACCCAAAGAATTCTCTTCTTTCTTGTTTGATGTCAAAAAAGGGAAGAAACCAAAACACTTTAAGATCTGAAAGGCTGAGAGTACAAAGGGAAAGATAATTACTTAAAACATTTCAGTTCGTAGGAACTTTGATGAATACTTTTTTCCCATTGATATTAAGGAACAGCCTTTCTCAATTTTGCTAAAGTCAAAACTAACATGTCTGGTATACAGGAGATCTTACAAACACCAGTATAAAACTGAGCCTCCAGATCATATTTTTTGGAGATTGGCCAATAAACTAATAGAAGACAACAATAAGGGAATGCTAGCAATCCCTAAATTATGAACACTTTTATTTTATTAATACATTTGTAATACGACAGTTTAGAAGAAGAAATGAGTTTCAATAAAATTGTCACCATGTTGTAATGTAATTAATGGAATGAATGCACCACCAAGTGTCCAAAAAGTATCACTTGTTCAAAATACTAGAAACATGGGCAAAAAACCCTGAACCGTCAGCAAAGGTGAAAGGTGTGTAGTTAGCAATTCTCAGGTAAGCTGGGAAGACATTACCACACACCAGTGGCAGAGCACACCACCACAAAACATTCCATAAATAGTAAAAGCTTCACAACTTATGTTTGGTTTTCCTTAACAACCAAACCCCAACATGCCACAGAAACTCAGTTTACCAGATGTAGGGGTGGATTTCCCCTCTTAATATTTACATGTAAATTTATTACAGATAATTTACAGCTCAAAAAGGCCAAGAGACACTGATTTAACATTAGGGTCATGCTTAAACAGACTTCAAAATATAAACAACACATGACAATGGTTGCAGTGATACTTACATAAATATAATGATGAACTG